CAGACAAACTCTCCAAGTGAGCCTGAACAATGGAAACATTATCCTCAGATTGCTTTAAATCTTTAATAACCTTTATGACATTTTTAATTTTATTAATCTTAGTGTGACGTTCTGTTTGCAGCCTTTCAATCTGATTCTCCAAAGCCTTAGCAGTCGGTTTCGGCTGTCTTTTCTTTCCATCCACATCACCACATTGTATTAATTGGTGTGTCTCCATTTTTCTTCAAAACATTACAAAATCCAAACGCTGAACTGCACCTATGCCACACAGCCTCATTCCAACACATCAACTTGATGACAATAGTAAATGTTGCGGCTCCTCCAACTTATGGCCGCGGCAGGCTAAACATGAGGACACAGATGATGCGCAACAATGAACACATAAAATACACTTCTGTACCTTTTGCTCCTTTTATTCCACATGCAACTGTCCCATATACAAATCAGTGCCTGGGATTAACGATTAAACAAATGCACAGACCACAAACAAATAACTGCAACTCATCAACAACTGCACTAACTACTATGCCAAATTACAACTTGGTCCATGGCATCAAATTAGTGCACAAATACAAAACTATCAAGTTCCAGTTAAAATACATCAAAATAATTCAAGCTCCGCTCAAGCTGCGATCAAGTTGCGATCAAGTTGCGGTCAACAGAAAGTTCTGCCTCATGCTCACCCTACCTTCCTGCTCATCAACATCAGGTGCTGTGAACAAGTGAGTGCAACCACATTTATTATCTACCACACCCATGAGACACGCCCCACACCCGTGCACCAATACAGTGAGTCCATTTAAACCAACCCACATAATCAAAAAAGGAACAACTCATATGGCTCCTACAGTAAATATGTTCCAAAATATTTTGGATTAAAAATTTAAATAGCCTCATTAAAAATTATTATTAATTTGTTTTCAGTTGTTGTGCGTGCTGGGGAGAATAACAGGATGGTCCTGTGTCATAGATATCATGATATGATGCTTTTATATCATGTAAAAATTTATAGCGGTATTTGCAAGTATGGTATAAAATGACGCAGCCCTGTTCTCATGGCACGTGGGATCAGCTTTTTCTCAGAATTCAGGAAAAGAAGAAAAAAAAAAAGACGTGCCCACTTTTTTCCCCCCCAGTGGCCTTAATCCCCTTCCGTATCAAACACCTATGGTCGGTCAATGCATTTTCTTAGCACACAGGCTAAGTGAATACAGTTTGTGAATACAGACTTTCAGTATGAATGCATATGATGACTATGAATGTATAATAAAATACATACACACTTTAAAAAATAATAATAATAATAGGCTCCTACCGAAAATATAAATCACAGGCAGTGTGGTTTTAAAGAAGTTTTTTTTGTGAGTTTTCCTTTGTTTAAACCCTGGAATATGATAAGTATGATGTGAATATGATATGATCAGGACAAGAAGACAGATGAGTAAGATAAACACATTACACATTAGGGAGGGCTTTTGTGTTTTTTCATGCTGCTTAAAATCAGTGTTCATGTGCAGTAAAAAAAAGTTCCTTTTGCATAAAGTTCAGCTGTTTAATGTCACAGACCCACAGACCTGGTGATCCAGGTATGAAGCTCTGCACCGTGTTGTGTCTGTATTGTGCTGTTGCACTGTTTTTTTGCCATTTTCACACACTTGCACTTTATGCGGTCCTGTCTTTACTGTTATGTGTAGCACCATGGTCTCGGAGGAATGCTGTCTCGTTTCACTGCGTACTGTACTGCTACATATGGCAGAAATGACTTGACTTTCCTTGAAAGCAGCACGTTTAGATTCAGTAAGATAAGAAAACTTTGTGATTCTTCTGCTGGTTCAAACATGTTTGGTCTCCTCCAGCTGATCGGAGTGTGGATCATCAGTGAGTGGATGGGAGCTGGTCAACCCAAACAGCTGCAGTTGGTTGAGCTCGGACCCGGAAAAGGATCGCTGGCGAGCGACATCCTCAGAGTACGTCAGCCAGGCTTAATGCTTTTCTATGAAAGACTAAAGATTTCACCCCAAAGTGGAAACATCTGTGTTATCAAGTTGCACTTTTTTCTCTCTTCAGGTGTTCAGTCAGTTGCAGTCGGTGCTGGGCGGGGCCTCTGTGTCGCTGCACCTGGTCGAGGTGAGTCCGGCTCTGAGTGTGCTTCAGGCTCAGAATCTGACAGGAAACCGCAGCCAGGAGGCAGACGCAGAAGATGATCTGGTTTACCGCCGCGGAGAAACTGAAGCAGGGCTACCGGTGTCGTGGTACCGCCGGTTAGATGATGTCCCAACAGGTACACCGGAGCAGAAAGCAGGCTGTGGTCATACTGGTTTATACGGAACATCTCCATGCCACAAAATTAGAGAACCTGAAGATGTTAGCAGGGTTTTTCCTGGTTAAAGTAAGCACATAAGCACAGTTAGTCCATCTATAGTTTAGGAGTTTGTGTTAAAATGACAAATACCTGAAACTGGTTACCAAAGTCATTGTTTTGTTTTATGAGTTTTTTGGCCATCGACATTTTATGTTTTGAAGCCAGATTTGATAAGTGAGGTAAACTGCACACTCATCAAATCATACCCTACTCTAACATCAACACTAAATTAGACTGTTAATCACATATTGAACCTCATGTTTTATTCAGTAAGACTTTACTAACACCGAGTCCATAAGGTCATTAGGAAATCCTCTACTTGTGCTTCAAATGAAAAGTTGGGTCATTACCTCAGAAATATCTTTACAATAAGAAGCCATTCTGCTACCAGAGGAGTCGCCCTCTGGTGGACAATAAAAAAAAATGCAGGTTTGAGGAAGTGTTCCCTGTTTTTATCTACAGTTTGTGGTTTTGACAGTGAGTATTATCAGTGCTGAATTGATCTGAGGACATCAGCCTTTATAAGGCTTCAGGCTGATACTGTTACTGTTTTCCATTTGAGTTCTTTATGTGTTAGCTTTTAATCTCTATTAAAATATATTTTTTTGCTTCCGGCGCCCCCCGTGCGTGGCAGCCTGTTACAGCAGCTCCGCTCATTCTGCGCTTCCTTCTTATCTACTCTTTACTTTCTCGTAATTTTTTGTAACTAAAGTTTTAGCAGTTAGATTATGTAATTATGGGCTACCGTTTTGTGCTAGTCTCTGTTTTTATTTAACAAATTTCCCACGTGTGGGACTAATAAAGGTTATCTTATCTTCATTGAGTTTTTCCTCTTCTTCCAGGATTTAGTGTCTTTGTCGCTCATGAGTTCTTTGACGCCCTGCCAATTCACAAATTCCAGGTGAGATTTAAAAACACAGTGTGTGCAATATTTATGTAGCAATAAAGCTTTTTCTTTACTGTCATATTAGTCCTTAAAGTCCTCTCTGTATACTGTGGTCTTGCATTGCATTTGACTACACTGTCATGATTGTTCCTACCACCAGATGGCACCAAATCAAAACACAAGAAGTCCATAAAATGCCAAGTGTTTAATGGCTGTGTTTGGTGAAAGATAGGCTGTTTATGTGATAAGTTATCTGTGTAATTTAGCAGCGACTGTTCTTTGATTAATTTTTCCGTATTTGAGTTTTAGCAAAGTGAAAATTGGTGAATCTTTGTGTTAACAAGAAAAACCTCTAGCGAAGTCATTATGCTCTACTTTAAGTTTAAATAAAACCATATGAAAAACAGAGATTTCATTTCTTGTGCAAAGGTTTCTGAGTGGCTGTTCCTCTCATGTTTGCTGTTGACTGCAGCGCCCTCATAATAAGAACGCCTTTCAGCTGTTTTGTCCACAGAGGCCCATCTAAACATGTCCGTTTCTCTGTTTGGGGCAGAGGACGGAGAAAGGCTGGAGGGAGGTGTTGGTGGACATCGACCCAGAGAAGCCGGACACGCTGAGGTTTGTCGTGGCGCCGGCTCCGACCCTGGCCTCGACGTCGCTCGTGCAGGTCAGTAAATGTAGAGCTTCTGTGTCCAGGAAAGCAAAGCACGCATTTATTAACATCTGCTTTTTACAGTTTCCAAATAAAATCTACACTCCTTTATGGTTACCACATCACAGTTTATTAAGGCCTCTCTGGTTCTTGAAACCAGATAAAGTGGCTCATTGTTTGAATTTTAAAGGCTCAGATGACCTCAAAGAGAAATGAATCCCGCCTTTTATTAAGACCCGCTTCTGCCTCTGCTGCCGAGGAAGACGATGACAGTAATAATGATGATGATGTCAGACCTTTGGCAGGATGTTCAAAGTGTCTGAGCTGAGCTGGAGAGGCCAAATCAAGCAGGCCGTGGATGTATAGATGGCATAAATGTGGGCAATAAAAAACCAGATGAGGGCTGTAAAACAAACCTCAGAGAGTCTGCGTGAAGAGTCAATTTCCACAACGTTTAAAAGACTGAAGGACATCAGTCTTTAAAGTGGGTGAAAAAAAATGCTTTTGTAAGTTCAGATAAACCTCCAAGGATATAAAAGTCTGGATGTTTGGATTAAAGGGGAATTGTTTCTCCTTTGCACTGTGGAAAATATAAACACTTAAGTAGATGTAGTTTTGGAACAGTTTGAAGTCATGTGCCGGCTGTTGAGGTGATGAGATTTCTGCCCAGTGGTCTGAATGTCGAAGTGAAGAAATTTCAGAAAGTGCAGGTAAACTGCAGGAGTAATCGTGACTCTCTTAAGGGAGTATTACTGCTAGAAATGTTCTACAGGACTAGAACTGCCCTCCTGAAGGTTCCATTGGTACTTTTGATGGATGCAGCTATCCTGGGTAGGAAGATGTCGAGGACCTTTAGTTGTAAGGCTCTTTTCTTCACTGTGTTAATCAGGTGTGGGCAACTCCAGGCCTCAAGGACCAGTGTCCTGCAGATTTTAGATCTCACCCTGGGTCAACACACCTGGATGGAGAACTTCAAGACATGTTGAGGAGGTCATTTAACCATTTGAATCAGCTGGGACACATCTAAAACCTGCAGGACACCGGCCGTTGAGGCCTGGAGTTCCCCCACCCGTGGTGTAAATGGTGCAAAAGGTCCTGGGAGTCGTGATGCTACACGTGGAGGTTGCATAAAATGTGGCATATGAAGATCACTAATCTTTGTGCCAGGACCTGACTTTGCCAACTTTGGCAGGAACATCCAAAGAACACTAACGTTGTTTCGACCAGACATTTTGTTTGTCCGGGTCAGGAGGTGTAGCAGGTTTGTCAGTCTTTATTTCCTCATTATGGGGCGCTCACCCATGCCTGAATGCCGGCTGGTTTGATTGCAACCTGGGAACGATGTCTTGGTTTGCCTTCACAATAGGTGCACATCCCTGTGGGTGGCAAGGGGCTTGGTTCAGCCTTCATGGTGTCATAGCTATGATTATGAATACAAACTGATGAAGCTCGTCTGTCGCAGATACAGCCCCCTTAAGATGGTTTGAGGGATCTGCAAGGCAACAGAAAGGAAGAAAAAAATGTTTGTTTACTATTTCTGGCTCATTAACTGACTATAAAAGAAGGGCGTGGCCATCGTAATGTCACCGATTTTTGAAACTCTGTTTCAGCCAATGTTATTTCTGCGCCTGTAGTGAAGATTCACCTTTTAAATGATCCTTTTCCCGCCTTAAATGATGGATAACTGTACCTGAGGGTTGTTTATGAGGTATCATGGGAAATGTAGGAAGACAAAATGAGAGATTAAGTTTAGCTTTTTTATAAACAGGAGACGAACTGCTGAATTGAACTCTCCTCACTTGTTCTGATCAAGTTTATCACACTGCATTTGTTTATGGACTGTTTGAAAAAGGGAAAATGTTCAGAGTTCAACAAGACGCCTGTAAGTGTCATTTGTTCCAGTCAAAGAAAAATGAACGCTAAATAAAGCAGAAAAGAAAACATCACATTTGAGAAGCTCGAACTTGAGGAAATTTCAGCTTTTGATTAATATATAATTCCAAAAAATGTCCAGTCCACCTTTAAAAGGTGGAAACCTGACCTGTGTGTGTTTACAGTCCAGCCATGTTTTTGTCTCCAGCAGAGATGATAGAGAGTGAAGCAATGTATTATTAAGTTACTGTGTGTGTGTGTGTGTGTGTGTGTGTGTGTGTCAGGCAGATGAAAAGCGGGATCATGTGGAAGTGTCTGCAGAGGGCGGGGTCATTGTGCAGCAGCTGGCCCGGCGCATCATAGAGGACGGCGGTGCGGCGCTGATCATCGACTATGGCCACAATGGAACCAAGACGGACACGTTCAGAGTACGACACACACATCAAGCCCGTCTGCTAAAGCTTCCTGCGTCACATATGCTCAAAGCCAGCCAGATAAAAACGTCCAAGTCTGCATATCGTAAAAAATCCTCAGTTACTGCGATGGATTGTGCCAGCGTGAAATGGAACTGTGGGGCACATGTGGGCATCGTACAGTGGGGCGTGTGTGGGGCACGTAGGGCAGCCCTCACCTAGGGTGTGGGCGTACGGTGGGTGAGTGGGTACGCTGCGGGTCCCACTGTGGGCCCCTCTCTGCTTAATGTGGGCAGCGCACAGTGCAGATGTGCCCTACATGTGCAGCTACTGAGTCCCACAGTGGGCAGGGTGGGTCTGCTCACTGTGACCCCACTTGGGCCTCAAGGAGGGATTTTTGGGATGTCATTCACGCTAGTTATAGAATCACTGATACCTGCAAATACAACAGAATGGTAAGACTTATTTTTCTTTCATGTTTGGTAGTTTTTATCCAACTACTCCTAACAACAAGAGGGACTGGCCATAGACTGTACACAAAAGATGGAGGTTACCACCATTTCTAGCTATGTTAGCACGCTTTATCATAAACTGTACAGCTGATACAGATACCTGCTAATGAGTGCTAATTAACATACTAATATCATCCAAGAATTTCATCTTTCAACACTGCTTCCTCTCTCGAGGTTACCTGTCTGCCAGAGTGACCACGCCCCTAACTTTAAGCATTAATGAGTATAAATGTGAATGAACTGGGAAAAAATCTCCCCTATACAGTTCTTTTGAAGGGTGAAGCTTTCCAGAAGCCAAAACAGTTTTTTTGTAGCAGGCTGTAAACATGTTGGACGTTTTTGTGTATGGGAACTGACTCGTTTTTCGAGACAGCCTCAAGTGGACGTTAGAGGAACTGCAGTTTTTGTGCACTTAAATGTTGTAGCCTCAGAAGCTGCTGCTAGGCTGCAACCAAAGATATTTGTTAATAAACTGAATGCCTTAGTGTTTAAACTGAATTAGTAAGTATGAGTATGCAGTTAATCAACTAATAAACAATCATTTCAGGAATAAAGTTTTAGAGCAGCTCAACGGACAGTAGTAAAAACAGGTTGACTTTAATGCAGTCTCTAATACTTCCATCAGTGTTTTAAGACCTCATGCACACATTTTGATAGGAACAATTCAGAGTTGGATGTATGTTGAGTCTTTAATTGTTGTTTTTATTGATCACATACAGTACACTCCGTGTGTCCTCCAGCTGTCGTGCTTTGTAATTCTTTTGTCTTCATGAGGACCAGTTTGAGGTTTAGACCTTCATGTGAGCATGTTTTGTTCAGCTCTAGTGGAAGGAAGCAGCTGTAGGAAGCAGAAAGGCTCCTGTGCGTCAGGCAGGGGGAAACCAGGGTCAACCGGCCCGTCGCTCCTCTTCCTCAATTCTTCTTCAGAGGTTGCCAAGATTTCACAGCATTTTTTTTTTTTACTGGGTTAGAACCTTTTATACATGCTGTACTTCTTAAACATCCCCTCATGTAGTTTGAAGGAAAAACTGTACAAGAAGCTCCTACTTAGCTCAAATTTGCTAATGCCACTGTAAATAAGGTTTTGCGTTGAACCCATCAGAGGTTTGCTCATCATTTTGCTCCTTTGCTGTTGGTCAGGGTTTTAAAGGTCACCAGCTTCATGACGTCCTCGCCTCCCCTGGCTCTGCCGACCTCACCGCCGACGTGGATTTCAACTATCTGCGGAGGGTGGCGGGAGGAGGCGTGGCCTGTCTGGGCCCCGTCACTCAGAGGACGTTCCTGAAGAACATGGGTATTGACACCAGGATGCAGGTGAGTCTTCATCACTGACAGATGCCAATAAAAACAATTAGCATGATTTCTTTTAGTGTCATTTCCTCATTTGGTGGAAATTCAACACCAAAGAGTGTGACTCACTGCTCCTTTTCCTTAGTTTCAGGTTAAAATTTGAATACACAGACCTAGGGTGCATTCCCACCAGGTTTATGCAAAAATTCATTCACAAGTTTAAAAATATTACAACCTCTGCAGAAAAATGCTGTGCAGGGAAAAACTTTCAGCAGAGATATTGTCGCCATTTCTGGGCAGGTGAAGCTGTTAGTTCAGTGAAACTTACTTTGTGACAGAACTAAAACAATGAGCACAAAGAAAAGTAAAACATTGTATGATTGTAAGATGATCCAAAAACATTTTAGTGTTTCTGAGTGACACGCTGTGGCCCACAGTTAGAAAACCAGGATATCAGACACACACAGTATGCCCCGAGGGTTTAACCCCAAGTCGTTCTCCGCAGGTTCTGATAAGGAACTGCAGCGACCCGTCCACCAGGAAGCAGCTTATCAGCAGCTACAACATGCTGACCAACCCCGCCAAGATGGGCGAGCGCTTCCATTTCTTCAGCCTGCTGCACCCCAGTCGCCTTGCCAAACCCCAGAAACCAGAGGGGCTGAAGCTTGAGAAGAAGAAGAGCCCGGCACCGCTGCCTGTGGCCGGATTCACTGAGCTCAAGTTCACCTGAAAGAGACGACTTTGAAATTTTGGCTGCCGAGTCAGTAATGAGTGTAAACAACTACACTGTCCCAAACTTCTTGAACTGACTGCACCACAAAGCAAACAATAAAGAGATTTACAGAGCTAAAAACGAGCAGACAGCTGCTTCATCACTTCCTTTAAGCCTGTGTGAAATCCAAAATGGGTGAGTCATTAATTAGATTCACTCCTGTAGAGTCATTATGAAGGAGGAAACTATCCAAAAAGGCCAAAACTGTTATTTTGTAGCTGTAAACATGTTTGTTTCTGCTTAAAGTTGAACTTTTTAATATGGAAGTCTATGGGGACTTTTGGAGACAGCCTCAAGTGGACATTAGAGGAACTGCAGCTTTTGGCACTTTAACTTAGGGAGTGTGAGAGTTTGGACATTACGAGATGTCTGTTGGTTTAAAAGATCATGTTCTGATGTGATTTAAGGAAAACACATTTTGTAGTTTTATGACCTATAAATAAAAAAATTTTACATTAAAACATTCGTGGACTGTTCTTGTCAGATTTGTCAAATTATGGACACCAGACACTGAATGACTGGATTAAACTGTGCAGCATTTCGGGTCATAGGTCATCTCACGTAGGAGGATCTCGTTCCATTGGTCAGCCGGCTGCCATCCTGCACATCTTGAAGCAGTTAGCTGAGCTCACTGTTGTGCAGCAGCCATTCACAACGAGCCCATCGCTCCTCCGGTAGAAATTAAAAGATTCGGTTACATGTGGTGGCAGTGGCGGTGGGGTCGCTGCTGCCAAAACAAGCAGCGGCCCTCCAGATGAGCTGTGATCGGGTTCAGGAATGGTAATTAAATGATCATTTCCAAACATCCTGCTGCAGATCGCTATCAGCTTTTCCTCTGATTCATGGTGTCCCTCGCTGAAGAGTCTGACTAGTACATTTGGAAGGGATTGCATGATTTCATTAAACCTGTTTTGAGCGAAGACGTTTGAAACATTTATCACCTTGAATCTGCCACCGGCATCCAAAATTTTAGAAACACTTGTGCTTTTTAAATCCTTGAGATTGGAGCTAATTCACAATAGATACATCAGACTTTGTGTGTAGCTTAAACAGTCCACCCCAAATTCAAATTCATGCTACATCCAACCAAAACATGTACATGTTGCCCAATTTTAAGGGGAACTTGTTCAGAAAAGACCTGCCTTCGATTCAGTGCAGTGGTTATTCAGAATTATTGAAAATTGAAAGAAAAAAAAGCAGCACTGAAGATCTACAACCTTCATTAATATTTGTTCCACAGAGCTTATTATTTAACTGAAACAAGTTAAAAATAAATGAATAAAATAAAGATTTGTGTTAGTCTTCATTAATTTGGTCAGATTTGGTATGGACACAGTCGAATCTCAAAATTTGACAAAATCCCCCCCCACATGAACTTCACGTGTTCTCTCCAGGTACTCGGGCTTCCTTCCACAGTCCAAAGACACGCAGTTAGTTGGGTTAGATCACTTGGTGATTCTAAGTTGGTGTGAATGGCGGTCAGTGCCTCTGAGTGTTAGTCCTGTGACCTGTCCAGAGTGTACCCCGCCTCTCACCCAACGGTAGCTGGGATAGACTCCAGCCCTGAACTTGATGAACTAATAATTATTTTGCATATTTAAATCTCTGGCTCTCTAATTACTGCTTATTTATAATTATGGTCAATTATTAAACCCACAATACAATTTTTCAAAATAAAAACAAAACAAAACAAAAAAAAGCCCAAATAATCTGATTTTTTTAAAAACATTTTGCCCACATAATTTGTTTTTCCATCAGTTTCATCTATCTGTGCAGGGTCACAAGGTTGCAGCTGTCACAGCGTGAGACGTAGAACACCTGTCCAGGTCATTAGTTAATCACAGGACTAACCTACAGTCAGTTAGAGCAATCAGTAAACCTAACACGCATGTCTTTGGACTGTGAGAGGAAGTCTGAGAGCACACACAGGCACAGGGAGAACATGCAAACTTGGATAGGCTGTCGAAGTGTGACAAGAGTGCAAGTAGTCCTCGAGTAAAACACTGCTGGTGCCCGATGAAGGGTTTAAATCATTTCCTATGACTGATAAATGAAGGCAAAGTTTTTGTCTTGAGAGTGCTCAAAGCAAATGCCAGAAAAACTCAAACTCAATGGAGTAAGTCAAGATCTGCGAAGTCGTCCGCCTGTTTTTTCCACAGTGCTGGAGCCTCATCTAGAAGACGACTGGCACAGGAACAACAATGACGACTCACCCGCATTTTGCCGTTCATCTTTAATATTTTCATCCACATGACAAAACATTTCTTGCAAAAATATAAAACGTGAAATAAATTCTCAGGCTGGAGCCAGATCGGGATTGACGAACACGTTAGAGTTCAGAAAGACAAAGGAGACAATAGCAGCTCGATTCTTCTCAGCTCATCCAGAGTTTCTGAAAATAACTCACGTTTGTTCCTCTGCAAAGGTTTCTGCCATACAGCCACATTATTACAGGTCGGAGACAGTGATATATATACCCACTTAACTTTAATATAACATCTGCATCTGTCACCAGCTATCTGTTAGCAAAAGAGTTTCTTTAAATAGAAAAACTAACCAATTCTACTAATAATTAATGGTACATAAAAAAATATTTCTTATTCGAGTCCAGGAAGTGTTCATTAAACAAACTTCATACTTAAGAACCATTGTTAGACGCAGGTCCAGCCTCAAGTGACCATTAGAGGAACTGCAGGTCTTGGAACATAGCATTGATATTGTTTTGATGCTTTAAAGGCCAAATCTGTTCTCAAAACTAGTCAGATAAAAGTAATTTAATCTGCATTGAATAAATGTTTTGTTGACTATTTGGCCAACGTTCATTTTCTAATTTTAAGATTGTAATTGCAGCCTCGGGGGAGCGCTAACATGGCTTCAAACTTTTGCAGATGATCAAACTGAGACTTACTGACAGTGAAATTCTCATGGAAAAAAAAAGTTTCCCAATAGTGCAAAGACATCCCAACAAAAATAAAAACTACAGTCGGGAGAGAGCGCTTGTTTCTCGTGAGTTCCAGTTAGTCACAAAAGACGACATTAACATCTACACAGCTTTTTAGAACTAAAATGTAACGACCACCTGCTAAAACTGTGCTATCTGAGCTGAAAAAGTGAGTCGAGTCTCTGGTTTGGTTTTGGATTAGCCCTTCCACGACTCCGCTGGCAGTGCTGACATATGTTCAAGCCCCAAGTTGAATTCTGGGGAGAAAAAACACGATGCTTCCGTGTTTCAGCTCTTAGCGTCCGTTTGTTTATGGCTTTGTAGAAACGAAAAAGAAAGTGGAAAAAGATAAAATATTTGAAAATTTTTAATTCTATGGACCTGAATTATCGCTGCAGTGATCTGCCTGATCAGCGTGTCCTCATAGGTCATCACACCTGTAGCAGGGGGAAAGCCTGCGGCCTACACAGCGGCGCTTCTGTCAACAGTTTCCCGGGTTTGAGGCTAACCCTCTTAAGAAAAGTCAACATGGCCGAGGCCTCTAGGGGTCCTCCTCCATGTCATCCAGGTTGGGCGACATGATGAAGTGTTTGGGGTAGTGCAAGCCTCTCTCGTCAGCGTATTCCTCCCATCGGGCATCGTCGCTTTCGTGAGTGATGTATCGCTCACCTCGCCGTGTCTCGAACTCCCTGAGGTCCAGCCAGGTCTGGTAGTCCTGGACGATAACGACAACATTAAACACTTTTTTTTATGCTCAGCTTTCACTCCATCTTAGACTGCTACAGGAGCTTTGCATGATTCATTGCTTAAAATAATCCTTATTTATGTTAAACTGGACCAGTTCATCCTCCATTTGAAACAAGCCATTATAGCTCCTCCCCCTTATTAAGCCAACTTTCTTCTGATTGGTTGCCCCTTGGCTGTGTTACATGACCATAATAGGGAAATCTGCTAAGAAGCATGTCTATAAGCCTGAGAAAATCTATTGTTGTATATTTGATATAGAGGTCAACTGTCCCTTTAAATCAGTGATTTAAGGTATGATTTGATCATTCAAAAACAGAGTTAAAATAATAACTTTATGTCCTGCATCACAGACTGTACACAAAAGATGTACACAGCTTCCAAGTCTAAAACATAAATATGAAGCCAACGTGAATCTGGATTCATTCTAATGGCCAGCAGGGGGCGACTCCTGTGGTTACACAAAGACTAGTTGATGAGAAACCAGCCTTCGCCCTTCTTGCTCTATGACCTCATTACATTTTTTCCTAAAGGGGGGAATAAATGTTTTACTTTCCTTAAATCTTTATTTACTTTAATAACACTGATGCGATACTGCAGACTCTTCTAAAGAAAGCAGTTTGGTTACCTGCAGCCAGGGGTGGCTCAGCGACTTGTCCACGCTGTAGCGCTTCCTCATCTTCACCTGCAGCAGGTTATTAATCAGGTCTTTGGCTGTCGGAGAAGAATAGTCAAGTGGCGTTAAAACACACAAATTGTTACAAATGTGAACATGAATGAACCCAAGTCCAGATGTTCCCTTACCCTCTTCTGAGATCTCCTTCCAGGGGTTGGCTGGGTACATGAAGGCGGCATTCTGGATCTGGTCATTGATGTCCTCATCCTCATTGAAGGGAAACGTCCCGCTCAGACTGACGTAGACGATGACGCCAACCGACCACATGTCCAGAGATCGGTTGTAGCCTTTGCTGCGGAGCACCTCGGGCGCCAAGTAGGCCGGAGTGCCGACCACTGAGCGGCGGAACGACTTCTCCCCGATGATACGAGCGAAACCAAAGTCGCAGAGCTTCACCTGGTTGAGAGGGGGAAAAATGCGGCATTAATCCACTGGCTCTCCCGTGAGTTCCTCGTCCTTCTAATTTATAATTAAACAGAAGGTAGCTGTAGCGGCGACTATCATTCTGCTCTGGACCCTTGGTGAGATTGGTACTATGAAAACTTCTGGTTCTTGTGGTCTGCAGTGCACTGGTGTGGAGTACTGTCAGACCGAAAGACAAGGCTCCCTGGAAAGCAGCTGAATGACATCAAGGACCAGCGCAATAGCAACCAAGTTGCAACCAATTGCAGCACCTGGGTGAGCTGCCTCAGTGTGGGGAAAGTGCATTTGTACTAACCTGAGGAAATGGCTCTGCAGAGGCCAGCAGGACGTTCTCAGGCTTCAGATCACAGTGGACAATGTTCTTGAAGTGAAGATGCCTCAGGGCTACCAGGATCTGTAGACCCAACAGTCACAAACGGAATGACTCCTATCAGAGTCCTATCAAACATCCACATAAACCCTGCCTAAGCAAACAGACAAAAAAGTGTCTCCGTCCACCTGAGCTTTCCCATTCTCACCTGTGTAACCAGGAACTTGGTGAGCCGTTCGGGTAGCCGGCTCTTCTCGCTGGATAAAATCATCTCCAGCATGTCGCCGTGAAGCTTCTCCATGACCACAAACACCTGCTCGGGCGTCTCAAACATGCACTCCAGGTTAACAATTCCCGGATGGTGGAGGTTCTGTCACACATAGGAGACAATCTGTGAAAACCAGATTCCAACTGGTGCAATCTAATGAAGTAATTAACAGTTTTGTAAACATGTTATCCATTTTTTAAAACTATAAAAAAAGATTCCTCAAACACGATGCTCATTTACATCTTCAGCCTCATTTTAAATATTGTTTGATCACTGCGTTCATTGTGGGAAGCCAAGATTGTGAGATTAAAATTTGATTGATTGTACTGCTCTAACTTAATCTCACATTAAATTAATAAAGCTCGCCACGTCTCACCTGAAGTATGGCCACCTCGTTCCTCAGCTGGCTCTCCTGCTTAGTAGGAAACCGCATTTTGTCGATGATTTTGATCGCCACGTCTCTGCCGGTCTTTCTGTGTTTGCCTGCAGAAGATGAGAAAGGAGATCACTTTGATTGTTTGTAATTCCCTGTAATGCATATAAAATATGTCTCATTTTAACACAACCTCTCACCTCCATAAACGATCCCAAACTGTCCCGAGCCGAGGACCTCGTCAGCAAAGATCTGATACACTGAGCTGATATCCTGAACAAGACAGATTAGAGCACCTCAGACTGTGAGAACATCCTTAACTGTGTTTTAAGAAGGGACAAATCTGAAATAAAGAGAAAAAATAAATCTGCTTGTGTGTGATGGCTTACCACATTTTCTTGTATCTGGGAGTTGGACACTGATATGCTGATAGACAGTTCCTCTGAGAAGACACAAAATAAAATACATATATATATATATATATACATACATACATACATACATA